ACATGGTAAAAGATCATATGAGAAAGTAAAGAGTATTAGAGTATTAGATAGTCTCTTGCCTAGGTAGGTAATTCGGTACGAGTATGTAATTCAATGTAAGATCGTTGAGGATCAATCTGATAGATCTTTATAGAGAAGATCTAGACATAGAGAGGGGTTATGTAAGTGGGTCCTTCGTTATGTGACCCCATAATATCTATATGTTGATAGATCTTAACTAATTAGATTGCCTACGCCACTAGCTTATACTAATAAGATAGGTCTTTACCTATAAATCTAACGAATTAGGTTATCTCACACGCTTTAAAGCACGCCTATATATACGCGGAGACACATAGATACCTAACGACTAGGACCTACGCACTAGTACGCTTACTGCTAGAACCTTTCGTACGCTTATAGCGATCATCACGCATTTTAACCTCGAGACCTTTTAGATAGATGCTATTAACGCTTTCCTAAATAGTGATCTTAAAGAAGAAGTATACTACCAGTACCTACTAGGTTTAGGACGAAAGACTAAGATCCTTCGCCTATATAAGGTAGTATATAGTCTTCGAATCGCTAGTAAACGATAGGAAGACGACGTAAAAGAGATACTTCTCTCACTAGGCTTCAAAAGCTATCCTAAAGACCCTACGCTTTACACTAATAATTATATAGTTATTATAGTGTTTATTGACGACTTTCTAGCTACCTACCACCGAAGTGAGAGATTATATACTTACTAGATAAAGTAACTTCTCTCATAGCGCTTTAAGATAAAGGACTATAGTAAACTTACCTAATTCATCGGTATTTAAATTATACGTAACCGATAGCGACGAAAGACCTAGCTAAACTAATCAGCCTACATTAAAAAGATCGCTACTAAATTTAACCTCCTAGGCAGGAAACCGCCTAATACACCACTAATTAGCAATTAACTTCTTAATCCTATCACTAGTCAAATTAACTAATTAACCGTTAAACTATACTAGCAGAAGTGTGGTTCGACCCTTTTCCCTGCTATATAGACCAGACTAGACACTACTTTTACTAATCAGTTACTAGCTAAATCTCTCACACGCTATAATAAGAAGTACCTAGCTACTATCGACCACCTAATTTCCTACCTATACGGTACGAAAGACCTAGCTATCTACTTTAGTAGTAGCTAATCAGATTACTAGATCTTCACTACTTCGTCCGATATAAGCTTTACCGATAATCTTAATAGGAAGTCATCAGAAGGTTTTATCTTCTTATTATTTAGTAGTCTAATCGAGTAGAAATCTCGTAAGCAGAAGACGATTACCACATTAACCACAGAAGCTAAATTACTAGCTATATCATATATAGCTAAATAGCTATACTAGGTTAAGCGTCTCTTCTCATTTATTAAATTCGACACTAACTAACCAGAAGTGTTAAACTACGATAACAAACAGACCGTCGACCTATTAAATCGCGAGAAATTAATCTTTTAGACTAAACTTCGCTACGTGGATATTAACCGCCTATAGATTCGTTAAGAGGTATAAGTAAAGCGCCTATCTATCTAATAGGTAAAAACCACCGATATACCCGTAGACGGTCTTACCAAGCGCCTACCTAGGCAGAAGTATAACGATTTCATCAGATAACTTGGCATAGAGACACTACCTCCTATCTAGTTATTCTGTCTCTCTTTTTCTCTTATTCCGCTCTCACATCGAGAACTAAGGGGGTGTGTTAATATATGGATATTGTGGGGTCATATGACGAAGGACCCACTTATATAACCCCTCTCTACATCTAGATCTTCTTCTCTATAAGATCTATCGAATTGATCCTTAACGATCTTGCATTAAATTACATACTGGTATTGAATTACCTATCTAGGCAGGAGACTATCTAACACTCTAATACTCTATCCTTTCTCATGTGATCTTTTACCATGTTTCTAAGATATAAATACTGCTATGTTTCCTAACTAAATTAAATCAAGTTTATCACCCCTTTTAATCTCTCTTCTAGATCGGTGGTACTCTTCCATAATCGTGGTACTTCTCCTTCTTAGAAGTGCGCACGACCGATAGACTCATAACCGTGTATTCAGACACTACATTAAGTATTTACTAATCCTTATACACACTATCTTCTTGTGTGTATAACCACGACTTTATGGTCACCGCCTAGAGTCCGACAGTAATCTACGTAGATAGCTATTCACTACCGCTATATATAGTCTTTAAAGGTAAAGTGGCTATTATAGGATAGTTTAACGAAAATCTACCGAAAGACTAGCGAATCGAGGTCTCTACTAACGGTTAGACTACCTATAAGATTAGCCTACGCTAGTTATAAAAGATCTTTATACTATATACGAATTCGCGCGTACGAGGTCGGTTTCGGCTATTAATTCTTGATAGTTATATGTTATGATATCCTGATATTGAGGTTATTCGCAGACTGATGCCCCAGGCCGCACGAGGCCCGGGCGTTCTGCCAAGAGGGTGCCGACCCGGCGGTCAGTCGACAGCTCCTCGGTGGCGTATCTAAAGGGCTACCCTGTCGGTAGGCCACGTTGGCTGGTTACACAACCTTTCAGCTCATGCACGCTCATACCGTGGTTACCCCTCTTCTAGTTCCCTGTTTTGTATGAGAGACTGTATATAAATTTGGGACCTTGAGGAGTAGGTTCAGACTCCTCAAGAAACAGTCTTGCCACGAATTTCACTAGGTGCTTCCAACCTTACCTGATCAACAGGTTTTCTACCCTGCAAGTAGTTATCTTTACATTATAGTAGCTATCTTATACCCTAATTCGACCGAATCTATATAGAAAACGATATTATACCTCTTTATATACCTACGTATTAATCGTATCTACTATAACCACTAGATATTAGGTATTTTATAGTGGTTAAGCGCGCGTACGGTCGCTTCGTTAGCGATCTTACGCGTAGAGGATATAACTATATCGATAAGCACGATTTCTTAGTGGATTACTAGTACGCGCGGCTAGAAGCGTTCTAATTAACTAATCCCACTATCAAAAAAAGCTTCGTAGCTAGCGGTCTAGTACTATTAGATACTGAGAGAGTGCTTAATAAGCTTAATATCTCTCTACGAACTCTAACACCACTAAATAGCCGGCTAAGTCGCAGATCTAGCGAATTTATACTATAAACGCCTAGAACCGCTACTTAGCTATTTAAGTAAGCTTCTATATTAAAAGATCTACTAAAACGGCGGTTAAATAGCCCTCCGAGCCTATTAAAAGAGATCCTAGACTAGATGATTAAGGGGTTCTAGCTCGCGCTTCACAGCGGTACACTACTGGCAGAGGATAACGCGAATTTACGCATAGCGAATAAGAAGATAGTCAAAAAGCGTAATCGGTCAACTAAGAAGATACCCTGTGAAGAGGGTTTAACCATTAAAGAGGCTATATAGCTAGCTACGTAGCTAAACCAGCCAGAGGAAGATGATAGGGTAGATTCGTATGCAGAGGTCGAATTACCTAGTCAGCCAACTCGGCCAGCAGCTAGGGCTCCGCCTAGGTGTAGTGGATGCAGGGAGATTAGCCACAGGATTAATGTATGTAAAAATTGCTATATCTAGTTGAATTGATAGGTGTTGGTTGAGATAATCGATTTTGAAGTATCCCCATGGGGGTAGGTGATCCGGTCGGCCGTGGATTACGTTAATAACATTCACTTACGTAACTCCGCTTTTGATACGGAATAGATAGTCGGCTAGCGATTATCTTCACTATTACCGAGTCTCTTAACGTCCTCTGGTATATCAGCCGTGGATTTAAAGCGTCCTCGCTAAGTATCCTCGATCAGGGAGTTTAGGCCGTTATTACTAGTCTAAATATAGGGCAAAATAAGGTCTTTATAGCTTTCGGCGGATACTTCTAGTTTAACTCTAGTTTCTAGCTCAAAGATTAGTCAACCTATCGCAAAACGATTAGTCGTATCAGATACTATTTTAGAGGGCCTATTAGAAAGAAGGGGTAGAGAGAGGTTTACGTATCCGAATAGATAACTAGCGCTAAAACCACTTAGTATCGTATAACTATTAAGATTAACTAGTATATTATCCTTACGTATATCTGAATAAGTGATGCTAAGGGTGTGTAGGTAAATAAGGGCTCGTATAATGTCCCGATACTAGAGGATTCGATCGAATTTAGATACCGGGATAAAATCCGAAAGCGGTCGATATTTACGAAGGTAGATACCTTTAGGTTAATATATATTAATAACTTCTATAATATTTAGATATGGGTGCTTCGCAAGCAAACGTAATATAGCCCTTTTATCTTTTAGAAGGCCAGAGTAGAAAACTATTTCTGAAGCATAGTCCTATAAGGCTCTTAGGGTAGCGTTCTTTAAAGGAGGCTTATATATTCTGCACGTCTTTAAAACGGTGTGATCATCAACATGATAAACTTAACCTGCTGCTCTAACGCCTATGACATCAAGGTCTAGCTAGTACTGGACAGTTAAAGATGTATCTACGTACCCTGATGGCCTGTTTAAGGGTGTTTAGGTTTCGTTTGCGGGGCCTTTTTCGACGTCTGGAAGTCGTTTTTTTTAAGGTTAAAAACGTGGCGAAGAAATTGGATCGAGGGAAGGGCGGCCCGGTATACGAAAGAAAATATCAACGACAAGCTAGAAGAAACAAACGAAAACATTTCGTAGTACAAATCGGCTGAAGCGTTGAGTTATCTGTTCTGGGAGGGGGAAAGGGGTCAACGAGTTTGAATGTTTTGTCATCCAGTCACGTGCAGAGACGCTCAACCCCCTAACTTGACTCAAAACGAAGCACAATTGGTCGCGAAGAGGAAGAGGAGTCACAGGAAGCTGATCTTAGTGCCGCGCAAAGCAACGAAGAGGAGTCGCAGGGATCTGTATTGGTAGTTACAGGGATCCGTTTTGGAAGTTGCAGGGATCCGTGGGTAATTACAAGGGTCTGTTTTAGTTGTCGCAGATTCATGTCACATAATCCACATTTCAGTGATTCACATGACTCCCCCAAACAGACCCAGGAACTCATCAGCAACGCATTCTCCATTCAATCGAAACTGGAACACAGCCTTCTCGCTCAAGAAGGCCCGAAGTCTATCAAACCCACAGTCTAATCTCTCATTCCAGGCGTCCTGCCTAGGGTAAGGGACCGCTTCCCACCTACCCACTGCCAGACACCTGCTCGGCACCTATCACGCGTCCCGACGCGCCTCGACGCGCCGACAAAATGGCAAGACGAGATAACCAGCCTATTAGCCCTCTACAGGCCGCACTACAGAAGACAACCACTACAGCCACTGCTAGAGCTCTCGAGGGCCAGAAAATCTTTAGCCCTATAGCAGCCTTCCTTAACAATCACCGGCGCCAGAATACTAACCTCACTCCTCGCTAGCTAGGAGCGCTCGCTACCCTTAGCAATGACCTCGCTAATATAGCCCAACAACACTTCAATGCCTACATCAGCGGCACACCCTTAACCAAGACCAATGCCCTCCTTACCCCTGCCCCTGCCCTTCTTCCTGTTCCCCCTCCCCCGTCACCTCCCCCTTCTCGTCCCCCTTCCGGTCTTGCCCAGTCCACATACGCGTCTGTAACCCGAAGCCCGCCGGCCAAGAATGCCGTAACAAAGCAAGCTGTCAGCAATACGAAGACTGATAGGCTTGCCACGAAGCTACCACCTCCCGACAACCGTCTTTTTGTACGCATCCCGGAGAACCATCTTGCCAAAAGCATGGATACATTTGCGATATTTACTAGCCTGCGATCCCATCTAGACACCAATGGAAAGCTTCTCAAAGGCGTTCAATCTACCAAAACTGGGTTCGCCCTTCTGCCTGCCTCCGCGGATGCCCTCTCGGCCCTAGACGCCCAAAGGGAAACCATAGCCTCCTTCTTCAAAGACTGCCAGATTGAACAGAGTTCCCGCTCGATCTCCTATCGAGTAACCAATCGAGTAACCAATGTGCCTAGGAAGGTTGGCCGACTCACTGGCAGTCAATACAGTGTTGGCTTTCACGCGCGGATTATAAGGAAAGATTGTTCTGATAGTGGGAGAGGGAAATTTTGATGCTATTATTTCATATCAGATGACAGTTACTTAAAACTGGTCCATCATGGCATCCAGGAGACCAGCGTCATTCTCTTCCCAGGGGTGTTCGACCTCGATGCTTCTGATCAGCTCTGCTTTTTCTGTACTCCTAAGTACAATTTCATAAGGAAAGTCTGCTAAATGACTAATGAGCCCAGGAAATACCTCAAGTTTGTATTCTTTCTCCATCCCCTGCTCATCAACTGCCTTCCTGATGTTGAAAGCTGATAGTAGCTGCGCGATGGTGAGGAAGATATTTGCGTCGGCTAAGTACCTTCCCGGGCATACCCTGCGCCCGTAGCCAAATGCCTCTGTCCTGGGATCCGGCTCGCTGCATGGATCCAGGTACCGCTTTGGGTTGAAAGTATCAGGGTCTGCGTATACCTTGGGATCGTGAAGAAACCACCATATAGACGGAAGTATGATAGCTCCTTTCGGGATGAGATAGCCGTTGTAGACAAAGCTCTCGGATGCCGCGTGTGGAACACACAACGGAAAAACAGGGGACCATCTGAGGGCTTCTTTGACTACACCCTCGATATACGGTAGGTTATCTCGGTCCTCAAACCCCGGAAGTCGATCAGTACCGACAACACGATCAATTTCCTCCTGTGCCGTTCGCTGAACCTCGGGGAACATAACCATCGCCAAAACAAAGCTTTTCAAAGTTGACACACTGGTATCTGCGCCACCGGCATACATTTGTGCAGCAGTCCACTTAATAGCAAGCTCATCTTCTGGGCTCAATCTCATCTTCTCCGTGTCACCATCGCAGTATTCGTGAACTAGCTTGGAGACGTATGACGGCCGATAGTTACCGGTCTTCATCTGCCGCCGAACAAACAAATAGGGACCATCCACTACTGCCTGAAGGGTCTTGTTCCACTGCCGTGCCGTCTGCTTGAATGCAGCTCCTGGGAATCTATCCGGGATATAGTTCAAACCAGGAAAGATATCGACCAGCCAGGCCAGGGGAACGGTGGCGGCAGAAAGATTGGACATCATGCGGTTGATCATTTCAACAAGAGGGTCGGAGTCAGTTGGTTGAATGGAATACCCATAAGTCATTTTTAGGATAATGGCAGATGCCTCGCTGTAACATGGCGCAGTGTAAGCATGAAGGTATAACTTTTGTCCACTCAGAAACATTACCTTTTCAAATGGCTGAGGATGGCCTCAGGACAATCTAGAACCCGTAGGAGAAACCGCCGCACTTCTACTTCTTGAATGTTATGGAACTGGCGCACAGCACTTTTGGTACCCAGTTGCTGGTGCACAAGCTTGCGACTTCGGCGGAAGCTCTCGTTAGGCTGTTGGAAACCTAGAAAACCGCCGTAGCCACACAATCTAATCGCGAACTCCATCACTGGACGGCCCGAGCATTGTGTCGAATTCTTCTCTAAGAGATCGCGGGCCACATTCTTGTCATGGATGATGACAACCGTTTGTCCCATCGTGGTGACAGAGCTAATTGAGCCATGAATATATTTGTGCTTAAGCCAATACCGAAACTCTGGGAGCCCCTTTGGGGGACGATCCATGATGTTGCCCACCAAAGGGAGGGGTTTCGGCCCGGGAGGAAAGCGCAGTCGAGTCTTCTTCCGACTCTTCGTTTGATACACGAGGAAGCATGCCAGAGCAGCCAAAATGATTTGTACCATAAGAAAGGTTATCATGACGGTAAATTGAACCCGACTCTGAAGTTTTGCCTGACGTGGAAGTGACAGGGAGAAACAGAGCTACGAGGCGGGGTAATTTTATACCATACACACTCCTAAGGGCATATATCACGATCATGCAGACCTAGTAGCAAGAATAAAACCCGCATATTCCTGTGCGCTACTCCTTGCGGATATGCTAAATTCTAATTCGAAGCTTGAACTAAGCCCCGGAGATCGCGACATGTTGGTTGGAGCCAAGTCACGGAATGATAGGTCCTAACTGATAGCTGGCCCATTTCTCATAGTATATACTCCCTTTGGGTATCCATGCATTTGATGACTCGATCCTCATTGATCTCGATCTTGATCCCGAGATCTCGGTCATTTGGTGTGGGGATTCAGTCCTCTGCATAGACCTGCATTGATTCCCTGTGGGTTTGCCTGTTGCAGGTCTGATTGTGCTTTCCAGAACCAGGCCTCTTGTGTCTTTGTGTTGTAAGATCCACATAGACCTTGCTCTTGTGGGTTTCCTTTCTTCTTCTTCTTCTTCTTCGTCGTCGTCGTCGTCTTCTTCTTCCTGCCCTCTCATAAATAGACAAATTGAATTGTTCTCTCCCTTAGCTTCATTGCGCTGGTGTCGTGAACTTCATCCGCATTCTTCTGCATTCCGTCAAAGATCCATGTGAAAGAATCACATTGAGTACTCTTGCCTGCTGTGTAACGATTTTAAAGTTATTCCAAGGTCTGATTTTAGCGGTGAAGATGCGGTCTTATCTTTGGCATGGCCTAATCGAAGTGTCAGTATCAAGCTTCGGTGTGCAGCTGGATTGGGAATTGTATTAGGATCTTTCGTTAATAATTAGTGAATACCCTCTGTCGGTATTACTATTGCTAGAAACTCCTGCCAAACCAGGATCGATTGACTACCTAAATCACCAGCTCTCCGATGGTGGAAGGAAACTTCCAAAAGTTGCGGTGTGTGAACAGGGCCAATGGGAAGGTGAAAAGAAGTAATGTGTGGGCACATACAATATGTAGCCAGGTATCTGAAAGCGGGTAACGGTCAAGGTGAAAAGACAGCTTATCATTTCAGGTTCCACTAACTCTAAACCTGGCTGCAATGCTGCATGGAACACATACAGCGCATAAGTACCCAGAATAGATAGCCTCGTATCTGCGAACTGTCAATAACGGAATTGTACCTGTCAGACAATTTACCAGCTGCATCCCTGATGATACGTCAGCATCATCGTTACACTCAATAGCAAGACGGTGAGATGTGCAAAGTGCAAGCAGATCGCTTGCAGATCGAGCTCAAAAATCCGCGGAGTTTTGCGAGTTTTGAGAATCCACTAATTGACTGGTGAGTGAGTGTGTAACCACCAAAAATCACGCAACCTGGGATATAAATAAGAGGATCATGGAATGAGAATGACAAATAGAAATCAATCCCAGAGTTATCAACAAATCAATATAACACGAGCTCAATCTTTATAATCTGAATACCCATTTACGCCTAGTCTTTATGATACCTTCTCTCTACAAGAACCTTCTTGAAGTACGCACTTGGAACAGTCATCCCATGATATATTTCAAGCGAACCCTGCCAAGAAACTAGTAGTGAACCAAGAGCTGAAACGCTCTCATTGAATTCAAGATGCCTTACATCGCCCGAACAAGTGAGCTCTCTGAGCTAGCTCTTCATGGGGGGCTTGTTGATCCCCGAGCCGGTAAACAGTCTACTTTTGGAGAACGAATGGTCTGTCGGGATGTAACCGACTTCATTGCCAATGCAACCAAAGCCTCACCTTCAGGACGGAGACTCAAAAAGACTGGTACTAGCCACACCAACTGGAACACGCCGTGCAACAAGCCAGCTAGCGAGTACCAGGCCAAGATCGACAGAATTCTCGCCCATTCGAGGCATATCAAGATGCCTTTGACAGGAAACGTTTCCGACTTGCCTGTGTCTGACCTCGTACCGGGGCTCGTCATCAGTGGTGGTCTCAGTCGTTCACCGGCTTTCGATGCCCTGCCTGTCGTTTCCCACTGGGCTGACCGGACCGACGACTCTTCGGCAGAGGACCCTGATGCCGCCGTCCGTATTACTTCGACGTGGGAGACCACACATGTCATTGGAGAAGGGTCCACCATGAGCTACCCTCTTGGAGCTCCCTGTTGGTTGCTCCGTACTCACGGCATAGGTCCGATGAAGACTGGGTCCAGCAAATTTGCTCAACAATACCGCCCTGAATCAGACACGCTGGTGACGACGGTCCACCTGGCCCGCCGTCGCGACACCTATCAAACTGGCGGAGTTATTGGCGCAGCCTCTGGCATCTCCTGGATGCGTAATGCACGTGTTGCAGACGCTGTTGATTGTGCAACTGGGCTGCTGCTAGATGCCGCTGCTCTCTTAGCAGCACGCGATGAGGTGATTAAAACTGGAGTGACAGAGCGTTTACCGTTCGCTGAAGTCCGTCGAGCTTACCTACCGGCGTGGTGCTCCGCTCGAAAGCCTCTCCCTCCCAAGCTAAGCGGCGTGGCACTCTCATCGGACCAGGCAGTTATGGATCTTCTCGAAGAAGAGGACTGTGAAGGGCCTCTGCTTAACACCAGCATCTTCTCCATGGCACTAGGCTACAACCGAGGTGTCTACGGTGGTTCGATCTCTGGCTTGTGGGCTATCATGGACTCTGCTTTCGTCCTGGATTACACCATTGGTATCAAAAGTGCTGCGATGGCAGACAGTCTCTCTTCTGCATTTGCAGAGGTAGCTGCTATTGCTGAAGAGGCCGTTTCCGCCGGCCCACACATTACCGACATACGAGTCGTAAAGGGCTGCGATTATGCATGCTTGCGCCAGAAGACGATTATCGAGGATACCCACCCTGTCCCCTCTCGCCCGTGTATCGTTGTATGGGATGATCTCGCTCGGCTTGCCCGTTATAAGCTAGCTGATGCCGTGTTCTGCCATGTCTATTATGATGCAGGTGGCGGCGAACAGATGGCTGCCATTGCCGGTCTTGGCTGCGTTGTGCACGACTGGATTGATCTCGGAGCTGATATAGCGTGTGCAGAAGTCAGCAACATCATCCCTACTTTGACGCGGGGATCTTTAGAAGAGGAACCCTTGCTCGAGGTTTACTCGCGGTTTCTTGGTTCTATGATATGGTATCGTGACAACGATCCCTACAACCCGGCAGCCCTTTGTATTCTCTTCACGCACTGGTGGCAGCTCGCCAACTGCCGACACCGACCTATCTCACTTCTCGGCAGAACAGACTTCAATACGGATGCCGGAATAGCCGCCATAGTTCCGGATAGGCGACCAGAGTTGGAACACTTCCGAGCAAGCGGTACTCAGGTTGAACGTGGGGCGCGTCCTCTTTCTAACGCCGAGGCACGACTCCAATCCGTCCGTGACTCGAATCCATTGCCTGAAACTCGGGCCGTAATCGAGCTTCTAGTAGACCCTGTTATCGCCTACGTGAAAGGGGCTGACAGCATACCTGCTGAGAGTGAATACGTGGGAGCCGTTCTAGCTGCCGAAGTGGCTTATCCCCAAGCGCAGAAGATCATGGAGTTGTGGGACCTTGCAATCATCATGTGGGAGTGTGGCGCAATATGGGCAACTGGAGTAGCAGGCCTTTGCTATACTCATACCGGAAACTCCAACTGTGACCGGGCTCGTGATGATTTGGCTGACACCACCTGGAGTTAAACTGTGCCAATCACGATCATCAAGCTTGAAAATCTGTCCGGGGCAATTTCTGACGTCTGCTGCACCTAGTATTTCGATATTCTTTTCATATATAATGCTAAGGTAGCGATCAATTGATATCCACCGCTGATTCGGTGGTCTGGTCAAGATCAGACATGTGGCATATCGAGGTGCCCCCCAATGCATCCCCCATAGCAACACCGAACAAAGTGAAATTAAAATCAAAAACTCCGGATAAGTCATGTTATAGAGTTTTGTAACTCACGAAAGGAGGTCTGTCTAAGAATATTGAGAACATTGAAAGCTGGATACTGCGGTGACTGAGGTCCACCTGGCTATATGATTAGTCAGAAGTGGGGGAAATGCAAATTCCCCACTAGCTTAGCCTTGAAAACTATTGGATGTTAGTCTAGGTGGTCACAGGGATCCGTTTTGGTGGTCGCAGGGATTCGTTTTGGGGGTCGCAGCAGGGATTCTTTTTGGTGGTCGTGGCAGGGATTCTTTCGTGGCAGTCGCAGGGATCCCTCCTAGTAGTCACGGCGATCAAGCAGTGTACATTCGCATTTCCTATTCCGTTTACGGACTTCCTTATGTAGCCCTTAAGCAAATATCTCTATGCTGAGAGACGAGAGAGAGTACCGGTTAGAAAGTAAACTAGCTCGTCGCAGTTGGAGAGTAGGTGTGTCCTGAATGACCCTGAAACACCACTTACAGTGACTACGCAAAGTTTCAGCACCCCCTAGAGACCCACTCTCAGACCGCCTAATCTATCCACCTACCGCCTACCTAAATCGCGTATACAGAAATACGCTAAGGACCGCGCAACGCGATTCTATTGTAAAGTATCCCTTCTACTACCATTCAACCTCTCTCAAATTCCTCTAGAATCTCTATCTATACGATTTCTTTGATATGGCTCCTTCTTCAGAGCTTACACCTGCGCTTAGAGAGCGTATATGCGAACTACACGCTATTGGCTGGGGCTATAAGCGTATTTATAAGCGATATCCATGGGTTTCTCTTGGTGGTATTCGATATACTAATAAGAAAGAGCCCGAGAGACGAATGGGTGTATCTAAACCTCGCTCTGGCCGCCCGAAGAAGCTTACAGAGGAGGATAAATCTCGAATTATCGAGGTAATTACTGAACAACCACGCGTTACCTACGATGATCTTCTTTCTGAGGTCTCTTATAGGGTTAAGAAGGATTCAATTCGACGGCTATTGAATACAGAAAATATACGAAAGTGGCGCTGCGGCTAGAGACCTTATCTTGATGAGGAACGAGCTG